AAAATTCAATCGAAGCTCGGTTCTTCAACCTCATTGAGGACTTGGGACTACACGAAAATGTGAAGTCGTACACTCGTTGGAGGAACGGTCAGACACCGTCGCGCTTAGACTGTGTTTTTACAAATGAAGAATTTCTAGTCGACAACCTCTCAATTCTGGCTCCCCTGGGGAAAAGCGATCACGCCGTTATAGCCTTCAGTTTCGTCAGCAAAACAGAGCTAAGATATCCCGACAACAACAGGCGCTGGAATTTCAAACGGTTGAATGCGTCAGCTCTACAAGATTATCTACAACAGGTGGATTGGGATGTTCACCCTCAACTTGATGTGGATGCTCATTGGGACTCCTTACTGCGCACGCTCTCATGTGCTACTAAGCAGTCAGTTCCTCAAACGGTCCCCAAAAGGCACAAGCAACCTACAATCATCAAAAAACGCACTCTTCGTTTGCTAAGCCGTAAAAGGCACTGTTGGGCAGAATACAAACGAACCAACAACAACGGCGAGTACAGGCAATACAAACATATAAGGAACATATGTACGAAGGCTATAAGAGAAGACAGGCTTCAGTACCAGTTAAAGCTTATGGATAAATTTATTTCCAATCCGAAAAGCTTATTCCGTTACGCAGCCTCTCTTCGTCAAGCCAAAACTGGAGTTTCTCAACTGCTAGGTCCTAACGGCCCGACAGATAATGACGGTGACGCCGCTAACCTTCTGGCTGAGCACTACTCCCGGACATTTCAGCCGACCCACATCAACTATACTGATGTCGGCTCTGTCTGCAACTGCACAGGACTTTCCGTAGTAAAACTGAGCGCTGACTTGGTGTTCCGTAAATTACAACACCTAAGAACAGACACTTCTCCTGGTCCAGATATGGTCCATTCTGCTATACTGAGGGAAGCAGCTTCAATCCTGGCAACACCGCTTAGCGTGATGTTCTCACACTCGCTAAGTCGGGGCAAACTACCGGATATTTGGAAGCTGGCTCATATCACACCAATCTTCAAAGGAGGTCGACGCAGTGAACCTTCAAGTTACCGACCGGTGGCCCTTCTCTCTATACCTTCAAAGATCATGGAGTCCCTGGTATACGATGATATACATGACTATCTGCTGTCCTTAAATTTCTTCTCACCCCAACAGCATGGTTTCAGGAAGGGTTATTCCTGTATGACGAATCTGCTGACCGCGGTGGACAGATGGACAAGCATCGTTGATCGCAAGGGGAAGTTAGACATTATTTACCTTGATTTCTCTAAAGCTTTTGATAGGGTTAACCACACATGTCTTATTAACAAGCTCAAACAATTGGGAATCAAACCATCTTTAATTGACTGGCTCAGTTCATACCTCACAAATCGACATTTTAAGGTCAGGGTAAACTTCAATTTCTCACGCGCTATGGAATGTTCTAGTGGGGTCCCCCAGGGCTCAGTACTAGGACCTCTCCTCTTCCTGATTTATATAAATGATCTTTCTCAACAGGTAACGTCAGACATACTGCTCTTTGCCGATGACGTGAAACTTTGGAGAGAGATACGCAACCAAGAGGACATACAGGCACTTCAGGAGGATCTGACTCGACTTCAAAGTTGGGCAGATGATAACGGACTTACCTTTAACACTTCAAAGTGTAAAGTAGTCCATCTGCGACACGTCGCAGATTACAGTTACAACTTAGGAAACTCCTCTCTAGTAGTATCCCGAGTCGAAAAAGATTTAGGAGTTCTGGTGCCCTACGACTTAAAGTCTTACGCCAACTGTGACAAAAATGCCTTTAGAGCAAACCTTGCACTGGTAACATTGAAGCGCATTTTTGATCAGTTTGACGGGAGAACTTTCCACATAATCTTCAATAGTTTCATTCGTCCATATTTAGAGTACGGGAACATAGTATTCCCTCCTACACTCCAAAAGGATAAGGACACTCTGGAGCGTATCCAACGGCGAGCCACGAAATCAGTTCGGGGACTCAAATTTAAACCTTACGATGAGCGCCTCCAATCACTCGACCTTTACCCATTAGAGTATAAGCGTCTTAGAGGTGACATTCTAATGGCTTACAGTATCCTTAACACATCTGGACACCCTCTTAAACACCTACTTAAGCTTAGTCCCAACACTAGCCTAAGGGGTAGCACCCAAAAACTGGAGATACAACATAGTAGAACGGACTGCAGACACAATTTCTACTCCTTAAGAGTTGTCAAATGCTGGAACTCGCTGCCAGCTGAGCTAGTCCAAGCAACTTCCCAGGAGTCCTTTAAGAGGCGACTTGATCTATTCTTAAGGACTAAGGATAGTATCCTACTATGATTTACCAATTCATTTTCTTTCTCTTTTATCGTTAATATACCTAGGTTCTTGCCTGGAGGTATTGGTGATCCCCTGCTACTAGACACGGAAGCCTGTTAAGCGAAAGCTTCTTCTATTCCGTCCGCAACCATTTGAACCATTTGAACCATCTGAAATTCACGCTGTAAATCGAAGCATGTTACATCAAGACAGAACATTGGAGGTTGCTAAAATAGTGAATGAAGTCTTGAATAGGGCAAACCAACCTAATGTATCATGAAAAATCACACACTTTATAAAATATGGAAACATGCATTAAATGTACTATTTTTTCATCTTCCTTGATTTTTCCTATACAAACTCCATCATCCTTCTATTCCTGTTTCTATTTTGATTGTTTTCTGTTTTTTTTCTTCTCTCCGCTTTTCTTTTTTGTTCGTAAAACTTCTGCTTCCAGTTCCTATCACATATTATTTGCATCTTTCCGTACAATTAGTACATACCACATTAGTCAACAGTCCGATTGAATTTTTATTTAGTTAATCAACGAGTCACTGAATTATAACTTGATGGTCAACAGATTGTAAGACCTGAATATTATCGGCTGTATGTTGATAGCTCAATATAAAAGTGGCTGAAATTAAAACGAAATACATGTTTAGTGTCCGATGGTTCTCAGTAGTTCATCAACTAGTCTCAATCTATGATTAGGGTTGTTTTTCAGCTGAACACATTTCTACAAACCAAAAAGTTGAACAAATATTTGGTTTTATTAAATTGTCGTCTGTGTCTTTCTGATTTATTGTTTTATCTAAATCTGAACAGTTATTTTTATAAGTAAAATTCAAAGTAATGAATTATACTAAGATTGTTGTTATGTTGTCTAGTGCATATTAATTCCGTCCGAAAAGTAGTTTATGTAGATTATACGTTATAAGTCACTGCATAATTTTCCTCACCGAATTGCATTGGGATCAATGATTTAGTTTATGTAATTGTGTGATAGGAAAATAATGAACTAATATGAATTAACAGTTCAATTTTATTAGCTCATTTAAGTCTCTTAAAAATAGAAGTAATTATGTTGAAGTCCATTTTAAAAAATTTGTTGCATAAAATTACTGTAACATTTATGATGTTCTCTCAACCATGACAATTATTCAATCAATCAATCAGTTAGTCCAATATCAGTTATCCTAACTCAGAAATAATGTCTGTCAGTCAAAATCGTTATGAATAAAGCTGTGCCATTTCATATGTATTTCTAATTTGTTAATTAAATTCAGAGAGCATAGTGAACTGATATAATACACAGGCTTAGAGAAAGAAATTATATTGTGATATTATCACGCTTGATTATCTAAGCATATAAGTGATATGTTTGGACGAAGTAATCTGAAAGGAGATTTTCCGCTAGGTACCTTTCGTCAAAACAAATTATAATTCATCTTTGGATTTGAATAATTAAAATAATAACTTTAATTGACACATGTATTCTATTAATGAATATTAATGAGTGATGAAAGAAATAACAAAATGATAAGAATGGATATCATTAATGTTTTTATATTGTCTCTACTTTGTTGGTTTTTTGGGAGTGCTGCTTATTTTGAGCTTAATTTTTGTCTTAAAGTGGCATAATTTGGGAAAGCATAATAGATTGAGGATCAGTGGACAGATGTTTCATCATAGTTATGAACTTTTTCGCAGTGCACAGTGATAAATCCACAAGTTATATAAACGAAAACCATTCAACCTCTCAACGAATGGAAATCTGGTGTCCCACAACTTTTACATCTGTTAATATTTACTGTGGGTGCATTACTATTTAATTCTCATCTCATGTTGATATTAAAGGTCACCATTGCTTACAAAAGCTTAATATAGTTGTCACTGGGTATCATGAAGTGTTGGCTCTAAATTCTGATAACTCCAAGAAGTTGATAGACAAATATATAATTAACTTCACTATATACTTATGTTAACACAAATATCATGAGGGTACAAATTACAGTTTAACTTGGTGAGTTTTTTCATCAAAATGACACTAAAATTGTGGTTACAAATACGGAAGAAAGATCTATCACTGCTATTTGAGAGGAATTTTAGTTATACGTTTTACTAAACGCATTTTATAGAATGGAAATGAAAGCGAGTTGCCGTCTTCTATGAACGTGAAACCAACTGCTCAACATATGGAAAAGTGCTCTTTTCATTCAGTTTACTCGAAATGACTTCAACGTATCCCGAATTTTATTTTAATTACAGCTGTGACGTAATTGTATTTATATATCAAACAATATGAAATAACTCGTGAGTGCTCTTCAAGAATAATTGCAGGTTCCATTCAAAGGATCTAAATCATGAGATGTTCGATTTTCACATGTAAAACAGCTAGAATGTAGTCGACACATCGAGTTTAGCTAGTAAATTGAAGTCTCCTGAATTTTACATGTAATAATAAAGTGTTAAGAAATATTGTCTTGACATTAGTGACCTTGGTTTAATACAGAGCTAATCACGGCCGGTGAACTTCAAGATGTAAGATTGAAATTATACGTCTCATCTTGAAAGAGAAATAGCGGTTATTGCGCGAATCAGTGAGATGACGATCATCATTATGTGATAGTCAGTAGAATTCTGGAGTACGTAGTCATCAGGATACTATGGCTCTAGACTAGGGAACAGTTCTACAGTTCAATGTTAGTACTTTCATCATCATCATCATCATCATCATCATCATCATCATCATCATCATCATCATCATCATCATCATCATCATCATCATCATCATCATCATCATCATCATCATCATCATCATCATCATCATCATCATCATCATCATCATCATCATCATCATCATCATCATCATCATCATCATCATCATCATCATCATCATCATCATCATCATCATCATCATCATCATCATCATCATCATCATCATCATCATCATCATCATCATCATCATCATCATCATCATCATCATCATCATCATCATCATCATCATCATCATCATCATCATCATCATCATCATCTTGCTAATTACTGTTATTAGAAATGTCACTAATTTCTTCATTTTTCTGTTACACATGAACTAGTTTTATAGTTCCCCTTGGTCAAATAAAACTACTAATAATAGTAATCATAATACTAACAGAATTAAACTTTAGTGACCTTAATTTAATGGTCAAATAAACCAATTCAGTTTATAATGAAGTGTTTGGCGTTCTACTTGTATGTGTTTGAAAGAAGATTAGAATGTTAGTAGGAAGGAGAATAAATTATACATGTGTATGTATGTGTGGGAATAGAAGGGATGTGAATGATGTAGTTAAGTGGATAATGAAAAACATGTTAATCATTTAGTAAACTTCCTTATTCCGATTGACCTAATCTTACGTCTGTTTATTTGTTGATACTTGTCTCTACTTGTTTATTATCCTAGTTACGGTTATATTTTCATTTGTGTACCTTTTTAGTGTTTATATTTATTGTTATATGAATTAAAGATCAAACAATTAAAATAAAATTAAGTAACTTAAATTCCATGAATGATTAAAAAGAAATTAAAACAAAAAATATTTAGTTACTGTCATGTAAACTCAGCAACAATTCGTTTAACCGATTAGGAAATGAACAATTAATACTAAGTAGAGCTTTCGTTCAAAGCATAGAACGCATAATTCTTATATAGATTATTATGAAGAACAATGTTTTTTTGAAGGGGCTTTGTAAGTGATTTGGAAGTGTTTTACTTAGAATCAGTAGACTGTTAAAGTCGAAAATGAAAACATGATAAATCTATGGTTCTGTTTTGTTTACAGTAATTTAACAACTGAGATTAGATGGTAATGTAAATCGTACTCAAGATTATAAACACTTATTGGTTGTTGAAAAGCAACGGGTTGAAGTCCGGCTCATAAAATTATGAGCAAATTATAGACTTTCGATTCACTTAGTACAGGGAGCTAAGTACTTACTTACTTACGCCTGTTACCCATGATGGAGCGTAAGACGCCGACTAGCATTCTCCGACCGACTTTGTCCTGGGCCTTCCTTTCTACTTCTATCCAATTGTTGTTCATTCTTCTGATGTCTGTCTCCATTTCTCGGCACAGGGAGCTAGGTAGTGTAATATATTTTATTTTTCATTGATCATTTAACATACATGGCTTAAACTTAAAGATAGTTAGCTGTTAATGTCATTAATTGGTGAGAATTTTAATAAGTGAGGTAGGCTGGTTTTCTTTGAGTTCTGGGACTCACTTTTCTGATGAGTACCAATTATGTTTTCTGGGGTCACCTTGTAACTTGATAACTGGTTTGCGACAGCGTTCTATTTTTTGTTTTCTTCCTTGCCTAAATCTTCATTTTTTTGTTCTTCTCGGTAGTCTTGGACGTTTCTATCATTGAAATATATGTGATTACCTCTAATGGTACATTCGCTTTGCCATCTCTGTTGTGCATCGTTCTTCTGTCTTTGTGGATTTGGTTCGTATGTCTGATGAATATTTTGATTTCGTCTGTGTCCATCCACTGTTTTAGGTGGCAATATAGAGTTGGAAAGAGACCTAATACTTCTTCCAAACATGACTTCCGTAGAGAACTTTTCACCTGAGTGTATTTCTATAGACTGTACAGAATCTTATGATTACCTGACTAGTTTTCCCTTTGTCTCCTCCTTTTAGTAATGGTATTTTAGGGGTATCGACATAGAGTTCTGTCTCTTCGTTTGATTGAGTATGATAAGGTAGGGAGCGTAGATGTGTTATTCCATTCATACTACAGACGTGCTTGAATGACTCCGAAATGAATTGCGAGCCACTGAGGTTTCTGAAACTCAGAAACAAGTAAAGAAAGTAGACAACTTGTTGATTGGACGGAATCTCTTCGTCTTCCTTATAGTATTTGGAGGCTTTGTCGAGCTTTTTAAAGCCGTTCTAACATAAAAAAAAATAAAATAACTTTGTATATGCTATATTAAATGATCGAATGAACCCACTTAATTTAGATGAAGCATTTAATTTTCTGCTTTATATGTAAGAATAGAACATATGGCGTTTAAAGTGTGCATGTCCAGCTGTCAACTGAGAAATTCAGCTGATTAATAGATGGAAGAAAAACACTGTTTTTGTACAAAAGATGAATTCTATGAAGTTAAATGATAAACAATTTTAGTAAATGACAAAGTGGTAATTTCTGATTATTTATGTTTAAAAACTGTAAAATAATACATTATTACATATGTTAAAATGTAAATCAATACTTTATAATCTATTTATAGAAAGATAATCTGGGTCGTATTATCATTTTGTCTCGATGAGTTTTTGAAACAAAGAAACGATATTATTTCAAAGTACTTCGTTTCTAGGGTAACATTGGTTAGAAAGTCGATGAAAACTAAGTTGTTGAAACCTAGATTACTACTCATCTAAAGAATACAATTCAAATCATAAACTAAATATGATATTACTGATCTATAAATTTGAATGATTCACAATAAATATGAAGATGCTTATTTAACTAATATAATGAAAATAAAATCATTTATTGAAAACTAACTAGTTTATATCATAATACAAAAACATATAATTATTAATGAGTACAATTTGACTACAGTAATGTATACTTCTTATTCATTAGAAAAACATGGAAATATGAACTTACCTATCCTTTAGTCTAAATTAATTTTATAATATGCAATAAACTTATAATTCATTATTTGTTTATTTATTCAATTATATTTTATTAGATATTATATAGTAGTTGATATTGTAGAATGTATTCATTGTCACATGTTATACATACATTATTGTATAGAATCAAGATCATAATTTACATATACATGAATTAACACATTATTAAAATGATTTTGTTCTATGATTATAGAATGAATAGAATTATTTATTTCACTATATTATATTACACTTTCATTTAAAACATTAATTATCATTATGATAGATATTTTATGTGATCAATTAATAAAATTATTCTATTTTTATTCATTCAATGATTTCCTAATATTAATTATTTAATGCTTATCATGTCATTATATATATATATATATATATATATATATATATATATATATATATATATTCATTTTATTGACAGGAAGCAATGTACGTAAATATTCCTATATGTTGACATTTGTTAGTTAACCTATAGGCTTTCTGTCGTGGACCAATTCAGTTATATATAAATAATATTCTTTTTTTAAAATAACTAAATACTTAATTATAGATGAGAATATATGTACTAGTCAACTTTTTGACTCATAGATTATTAATGTATTCAAACTATCAATAAATGATTATGGATAATAGGTGAAAATAATCTTCAAACATGAAAGTGGTATTTACTGATGTTCGTCAATAATTGTTATTCAAGTAAATATAAGGCTTTCTACAGTATCGATTCTAATAACTAGAATTGAAGGAAACACTGAAGTATTATTTGCAATTTTTTTCTGGTTAGCGTTTTTTGGTCGGATACCATCAGCAAACGCCTTTTGTGGGAGAGAACATACCAGCTTCCAGCTGAAGAGGAAATGATGAAAAGACGATGGAAATGGATAGGACATACATTACGCAAATCATCAAACTGCATCACGAGGCAATCCCTAACTTGGAATCCTGAAGGGAAGAGGAGGAGTAAGTAAGTATAATCTGCAATTAATATGAAAGATAGTGAGTTGATTAGATATTTAAAACAACAGACTGAACACTGAATGCCATTTTATTTCGTTCTGGGTGTTAATAGAATTCTATTGATTAAGAAGTAGTTTATTTCCAAGGTCAAATGATTTAATACAACAGTTCATTTTCGCTGATTTTAGGTAGCGGTTTACAGAAGATCAATGCCAAAGTCTCCTTGCCGCTCATCAGCAAACACCTGAGTCATTGAATACTCACTATCGATTTTGATCCAACCACGTGAAGCAGTTTCTTTCAGAATCATCCTAACAAGTTGTTTAAAATCATACCTTATCATTCTCATATTTGGATTAAAGTGTTTTGTTGTTATTTCTTTCAAAAGCCTTATAAAAAGAACAGTGTAGACTAAACTAGCACCACGATGTGTATTTGTTCTGTAATTGACTGGTCGTTCCACATAATGAACCACATTTCCTACTAATGAAGCTTACCCTCAAAGCATAGCTACTTCAATGATCGAAATCTAAAAGCTAATAAATAATTTAAACCACAACTTCTTCAGTTCTTATATTTCACTCAGAATAGGCTTTTTCCAGAAAAATAGAATACGGGTTCTGTCAATTATAAGCCTAATGAAGAATTCTACAACAGGGCGAAAGAGCATCAATAATTGATTTTGATCAATATTAAGAACCATTTTCCGAAATAGAATAATCTTCATAGATCCTCTTTCTCAATAAAATGTATTGAGTGCTATTCAATTCTAATGGAGTAAAATATATACGTATATTAATATTACTATGTTTCTCTTCTTAAACTCAAGCGACCTACATGAATATATGAATTATCTGTTCGTGCCATTTAGATATTTCAACAAGTTATTTGTTTTTTAATTATTTTAACATATTATTATGTTTATTAATCGCATAGCCTATTCAGGTGCTTTAATGAAAAATTTATGAACTTTCGCTGTACAATTTACAAAAAAAGTACCATCAGAGACATCGTGATTGCTCCCAATATACATCTAAAAGAATGAACATTATTCAGGTGTTGATTCTCGGAATGCTAACATCTAACTGTCAATCGTTCACTATTTATCTCAAGGATCTATCAAGAAAAAAGAAAAGGAAACTTGTTGAAATACTTTGTGCTAAGAATTCTATACTATACCAAATGTGTAATATTGATTAAAGTCAATAACAATACTATTGTCTTAGTTAATCAAACAAGATTTACATTAATCTTTGATGCATTAGAAAATAAAGCACTACAAAATTTGTATACAACAAGAATTTCTCATCATTATACAATATGGAAATTAAACAAAAATAAAATTAATCAGTATTTTCTATTTCATAATATGAATAAAATAAACTAATACTA